TTTTAACTAAAAAGGTTTACGTTTAAGGATGAATTTGACAGCGACAATGTTTCAAAATTAGGAAGGGAAGCAGTGATTATTTGATTATATAGACGCTTCGCCCCTGGTCATAACAAAATCATACATCAGCGTCAATGATCTTAATATCAGTAACATTCTTACTATTTGCTCCCACTCTTTGTTCAAAACTGTCATGCACTTTGACTATAATCTCCTCCACGACTGAGTAAGAATGCAAAGTAGTGTAATCCTGTTTTTCGCAGGACAGAGTGTTAATTCATCGTAGAGTTTGCAGTTGATTTAGATTGTACTCTTACGTTTGCTTTACAGTAGATAAACTCTCAATATAGGCCTACGTGGCGTTAGTTCTGATGGTACAAGATATCACTCGGTTGCTTAACCCCATCACTGCTTTCTGGTGGTTGGACTAAAAGTAGAGGAGAATTTCTATGATGTCCTTTTATGTCTGTGGAAGGGTGGGAAAAGGAGGAGGATGGCAATATACCCCTGCTCCAAACCGTCCCCTATACTTCTCTTCCCCCTCACCCCCATGCCCTCATCACACCCCTCATCCCACCCCTCATCCCACCCCAGTCATTCCTACCCCCCCTATACCCTACCCCTCATCCCACCTCCATTCCCCTTGACCTCCCTATTTCACACCCTACCCCCTCTTTTCCCGTTTCCCCCAACCCCCATCTACCCTTAGTCCCCCTTATTTCCACCATTCTAACTCTAACTCCCCCCCCCCATTACCCCACAGTTAGCAATACCGGCGCCTCAAATAACTTTATTGGCTCCGGTACTGCTACTGCTGTGCTCCAGAGGACAATATTAAGTATGTGTCGCAGGGACTCAAATTCCATTTTAAATAGTATTAAAACACTAAAACTGAACAAATTAGTTCATTTCATTATTGGCTTTGTACAATTGCACTAGCCATGCCAAATCCCACGAGCTTAATTCCAATAGACTGTATTTTGCGACTTAACCATAGGCGCTTGTTGATAGAAGACAATCTTGCAATAATATGTAAGCATCTGGTCATCTTTTCACTTATTGATCTTATATCTGCAGGTCTGTTATCTCTAAAGGTAGATAATTAGTCTTTCTTCGTCTAATCCACCAGGTTCGAGTGGCTGAGAGAAAATATTTTGTAAAAAAATTTTGAGAGTGTGAAGTGGAGAGCAGTGTTTTGTCATGTAAACACAAAGGTCTCAGAGAGATCAGCTCACTGTCTCTTACATTGTGGGGTTGATAGTTTTTATGTGCGTGTTTTCTTTTTTTAAAGTGTTTTACGGCGTTCGCAACTGCATAAGGTCATATGAGCGCGCGGGACACATTAAACATTTTCAGTTGGTAGGAAATTTTGAATTTTGCTCAGCTACTCTTATCGATTTTAGACCACCAATGGATCGGTAACATGCGCAACCTGCACACAGGACCTCCGTGATTTTTCGCCCTTGTCCGAGAAGGCTAGATGCAGATCTTTCCTACCAGAAGATCAGGGGTGTGGCTGAAAGACAGCAGTAAGAAGGAGATAAGGAGTAGAGGTAGAAAGGCTGCAGAAAGAGTCAGAAGTCCAGAGGAGGGGGCAAAAGGGGTGAAGGGGTAGGGCACAAAGTGGAGACGAAAGCAGAAGATAAAACATTGCCAGAGAGCAGGAAAGAAGCTGAAAAGGAGACAATTTCAGAGAAGAAAATTGTTCGGTCGCTACCCGGATTCGAACCCGGTACTTTTGAACGAGAGGCGAAAACCTTAACCTCTAGGCCAGGACAGCCCTTAGGTCGATAGTGTTGACAGTTGAGATGGGACAACAACGCGACCATACGGCTTACTTCAGACAAAAAAGTAGTCAATGAATCCTTGCGTCTAATATACTGGGATTTATGAAACGCAGGAATGCAATTTTACTCTCAGACCTGCTCCATAACTCAGTTCTCGGGTCTGGCAGGGAATGGGTTAAAGCCGTAACAAAGTCTTCAAAACCCCTGTCGGTCCATCATAATTTCAAACAAACTCTTTTGTATCTGTATTGCACAGCTCATCCATTTCTACTCCGTATGGAGTGTATTTTTAACTAAAAAGGATTAACACAAGTAGAGTAATAATGTGAGTTTGTGACGCTGAAAACTCGGATGACAAAATTAGCCGCGCAGAGAAAGAAATATCCTTCTGTACACTTGGAGTTAAGTTCACAGAATGACTCGGAGGATTGTATCTGGTGTGTAGGGGAGAGAACAACTAGCATCTGGAACCTCATAACTTACGCTGTCTGGGATGCGGGGATATTGTCTTTTTAACATTTAAAAAAAAATTATTTTGTTTTATTTTGTTTTTTGGGAGGCTTTGGGGAATTTATTTGTTGCTGTTTTGTTTTAATTTGCTTGTTTTGTTGAGGG